ACCAAAAAAAAAAAAAAACAATGTGACCCAAGACCTGGGCCGGTGGGTCAAAAACTAAAAGTTTATGAACCGGGACCGAACCGCAACCCTACAGTTCCAATTCAAGGAACCGGCCCGTAGGAGGACGGTTCCGGGCCGGGCCGAGACCGGTTCAAGGGCTGGTTCACGGGCCAGTTTGGCCCGTGGACACGTCTAGCATTGAAAATAAAAAAATACAATAGAAATTGCATGTTTCAACGGAAATTCTTACGGTAAAAAATCGTTTGAAATATAGCCGTTAAAATCATCAATTCCATCTAAAATTTTAATGAAATATATTAACATAAAAATTTTCATTGAAATATACAATGAGAGATCTAAATATCAATTTAAGACTCTAACTTCATCATAAGTATAGAACTCGAAACATGGGTCGGCGATCAATTCGAGACTAAGAAAATAAAATCTATAAATTTGGGATCGAAAAAATTTATTTACTTTTTTTTTTTTAATTTAAGACTATAAGATTACCATAATTATATTCTTCCTAAAGGGTTAGGAAGATAAATAATAAAATAACTCAAATAACATTTAAAAAAAAAATTATGCTCCAATCTCATTTTTTTATTTCAAACGTGACTGGAGCATAAATTGCCTTTTGTTCATCTCTCTCTTTTTTTTTTCTTTTTTTTTTTTAATAATAAGATACGTTTCCTATTTATAAACTTTTATATTTTAAATAGTCGGTGCAGCTAGCGTATTAAATTTTGCCTTTGTTTTTTATTTCACATTTTTTCATTTATATTAAGATATTTCTATTTATTTTCTTAATAACGCTTCAAATATTATATTAATAGTTTTAACTGTTATGTGTTCTCTTCAGTAAATTTTGAGCTTATAGCTTATAATTTATGATTTATAGCTGAAAAGTTAACTTATGTGATGAAAGTGTTTGGTAAAATTATCTCATAAGCTAGTTGAAATAAAAATTTCAATGAGATTATTTGGAAAAAGAAGCTTATCAAATAAGCTCGAGCATTTCAGAAAAGTTCATCCTACCAAGCGGAGCTTGTTTGAATACAGAGAACTTATAAGCTAACTAAATATTAAATAAACTATAAACTAGCTTATTTGTCTACCAAACATATTCTTATTAACCTTGAATTTGTAGATTTTATATTACAACAATTGATAGTAAATCAGCTTGACTAATAGAACCCCTATAATATATAATACTTTATATCTAGTACTTGTAATACATACTATATAAATCTAGTCTTAAGTTAATTTGTAATGCAATATTTCTTCTTTTTATTCATGTAATGCAATAGTCACAATACATATCTGGGAAATAATTTTTTTTTTTTTTTTTTTTTAAATATAGATATATTATCTTAGTCATACAATGATGGGTGAAAATACGGTCAATATGACTAAATTAATCTTGTAGCTTTTTAAATTTACATCACCACTATTTAAATGTAGTGGGATTATAGTTACAGCCTGAATTTAGATCATACTCTATTTTCACTTATTCCTAAGTCATGAAGTTGTACTAATAACACTATTATTAATTTAATTATTTCAGAGTTTCACTGTAAGAAACTTGGGGAATAACGGGTGCGGTCCTACTAACATGAAGCGCACCATAAGTGAAGAAAGCCTATATGAAGCTCAAGTGGGGTTTTCATCCCAAAACCAATTGGTGGAAGGAGGAGTAGCCCATTAGACTTATAAGGTGGGTCTTCGCACGGTTCCAAAAGAACCGGCTCTGATACCATGTAATAAATTGGGGGAATAACGAGTGCGGTCCCACTAACATGAAGCGCACCATAAGTGGAGAAAGCCCATATGAAGCCCAAGTGGGATTCCATCTCAAAACTAATTGGTGGAAAGAGGAGTAGCCCATTAGACTTATAAGATGAGTCTATTTTCCATGTATGAACGATGTGGGACAACTCACAAGTGATATTCTAACATTGACACTTTTCAGTGTTATATGAGAGTGTTTTTTGGGATATATACAAGCAAATGTAGGTCTTTATTTTTTGTGATTCATGAAAATGCTCTTATCTGAATTTGGATATGGTGCCAGCCAATAGGTGTTTGAGTTTTTTTGCCAATTTGGACTGTGTTATCTAGGGGTGAGCACGCACCGCACAAAAACCGAAAACTGATTTTTTGAAATTTTTTAACCGCACCGCATCGTAAGAGAAAAAAAACTGAACCGAAATGTTCAGTTCGGTGCGGTGCGGTTTTTCGATTAATCGCAAAAAAAATAAAAAATAAAAAAAATAATACAAACAACATCTCATTATGATTATGCCATACAAAATCAAGATTAAATAACCACAATAGGTCCAACATTCAAGGTTTTCTTTTTTTGATGTTTTAAAAGTGCAACCTGTATACAATATATATGTAAAGTGGTAAAATAAAACCACACCTTTCGGACGGAAACAGAACCGCACCGGAACACCTACGGTTTTCTAAAATCCAAACCGCACCGTTAACCAATCTCGTAAAATACTGCACCGAATCGCTCGGTTCGGTTCGGTTTTTCGGTTTCGGCTCGATTTTGCTCACCTACTGTTATCTTTTCATGTTATTGTTAGAAGTTATGTTATGTTCATTACTTTAGCTATTATTATTATTATTATTATTATTATTATTATTATTATTATTATTATTATTATTATTATTATTATTATTATTATTATTATTAAGGTTGATGCAGTGAGTAAAGTTGTCAAATGATAAACTAGCTACGTTCGTGCCTGTTTAGTTAGCGAGTCGAGCTGATTCGTCAAGGCTTGAAATAGAAGGGTTTATATAATTTTTTGAATGTTTACCTTAACTCGACTCATAAGTACATCCCGTTAATACTTGTAAATGGTTAGTGCTCGTGTTCATACTCAGCTCATTTATTGGGTCGAGAAGAACAGTCAAATTGGGGTTGAGAAGAACAGTCAAATTGGCCCATTTATGGAGGTTTGTAAGCCCAATTACCTTTTTAATTTTAATCTACCGAGCATTTTAATTTTATTCGAACTCGAGCCGAACTCGACAATTCTCTTTTTTTATGAGTCGATCTCGAGCTTCATAAATCGAGCTCGAGCTCTAATAAGTACAAAAATATATATAAAAAAAAATCATTCATACTCGACAAGATCAATACTCGAGTCGCCTCATCTCGTTTGCAGTCCGCGAATTGGGACCGCTCCTTTTAACCGTCAAAAGTCTAAAGATTCTCCATTTTCCCACTTGGTCGCCCCCCACGAATTCTTTTTCCTCTCCACACGTTTTTCTTGTTCTTCCCAACAAAACATCAAAATTTCCTTCCTTCCTTCGTCACATCTCGCCACCGGCCGCGGCGGAGCACATGGCGGCGCTCCCTTCGGCGGACGACTCATCGAACTGGGCCTTCGATTACGAGCTGCTCGACGACCTGCCTCCTGTCGAGCCTTGCTTCCAGTGGGCCGGCCCACCGAATGCTCTCCCTCCTCCAGCCTCTCTCAGGTGACTGTTATGTTAAGACTATCAGTTGCTATGTAACTACAAGACGAGCATTATTTGTGATTTCAATTTTAGACAAGTGTAATTCTATTAACATTCTAGGGTTTTTTTTTTTTTTTTT